GTGGGAGGGCAGGGCAGGGCTGGCTGGGGCTCCCAGGAGCCCCTGGCTTCTTCCCTTGCTCTCGGGCACACGTGTTCCCTTTTATAACAGTGCACAGCTGGGGCTCAGCAACGCCGCCGGGGACCTCTGGGCTTCCTGGCTCATCTGCTTTTTCTCCATCCTCCCACGGCTTTAAATAACTGATGTTTCCACTTCCCTGTTCTGTGTAGCAGGGAACACACATTGCAACACAACCTTTTTCTAAAATAAATAAATAAATTAAAAAAAAAATTAAATCATTCAAGCATGAAAGCTTGAATGAATCTGGTGCCTTTATCCGTTCTGGAAGTTTGCTGCATGGTTTCTGCTTGGATATTTATAGCTGTTCAGTGAGGAGCACCTTGCAGAGCAGATACAAGTCCATGCTGTGTGTGTGGGAGCAATGGCCTAAGCATTGTTTATCAGAGAGAAAAGCTGTAATTTTAATAGGAGCGCCCAAAGTCGGGGTAATGAGTCACTGTGGTTCTTTCAGCTCCTTCTGCAGCACCGCCGGGGCAGGTCGGGTGCTGGGGGTCGGCATCACCCCGAGCCGCACAGGGTGCTGCAGATGGAATAACCGGGCTCTTCTGTACCTTCCTCCCGGAGAGAGGTGGCAGAGGTGGTCCCCTTGGAGGAGGGGATGGGATGCTGCCAAAGGAAATGCCGACGGCCCCGGCAGCAGTTTCTGAGGTGTCGGTGTGAGTGAGGAGGGCGGCTGAAGGGAAGAGGAGCGTGATGGGTGTCTTGGGGGCTTTAGCTTTACCCTAGGACTCAACCTCAAGCTGCCTTGCGAAGGAGGAAGAGTTTGCAGCAATAGAGAGCCGGGAAGTGAACCCGCAGAGGGGCTCAACGCCTGCAGGGAACGATGCCAGGAGGGGTGCGGGGGGAGCTGCAGCTGGGCAGGATGTGCAGAACGAGCTCCAGAGCTGCGCAGGACCTGGGCACCCTCTCCTCTAGCACACAAATAAAGCTTAGTGGTGAAGCTTCCCTTCTAAAGTGGCTTTTTACCCATCTTTACAAGAACCTCCGTACAGCAGCAAACTTTCGGTCTCTGGGAAAGCTTTGGTGATGTGCAAGTATATACCTGTTCTAGCAACAATCCGTGTTTTTAGAGCCGAGAAGGAACCGGGTCCTACCCTGAGCCGAGGGACCTCATGCACAAAACCACTTAAGAGAATAAACCTGTTGTGGGGCAATGCCTTCAGCAGCACACGGCGCAAACACCCAGCAAAGGACTTAATTACTGTGTACAAAGGCGCTTTGGTCAGGGCTGTACGTTGGGCTCCTCCGCATGTCAGCGAGCAGCTATGCGGCAGAACAGGCTGTCGGATTAAGGAGTCTCCAGCGAAACCCGTGCCGAGGACATCAGAGGACACCAGCGGAGCCGGGAAGTGAGTGAGCTGGGTGGTGCTGAGCAGAGCTGCCCGTAGCCTCCCGGGCACAGGGTAAAAAAACTGCGGCTGCGCCTCTGCCTGCGCCTCTGCCTGCGCCTCTGCCTGCGCCGCACTGGCTCAGAGCAAAGCTGCTCTGGCAGGGCTGCGAGAAAGCACGGTACGCAGGGACCCGGCTGCTTCAGGTCAGAACGTGAAGCTGGTTTAGGGGCTTGGCTGTGCCGTGACCCCAGCCCGGAGCAGCAGCCGACCTGCCTCGCGTGGGGGGCGAGATGAGTTTCTCTTGCCCCGGTGCAGCAGGGTGCAGGTGAGGGGCCGGGGGGCTCGCCCGCAAAAAAGCCGAGCACCCACCTGCTGAGCACCCGCCTGCCGAGCACCCGCACAGCCTTATCTCTGCCGGGGAGAGGAGTTAATGTGTAACCCGGCTCTGTTTGGTTAGCCCAGAAAACCAAAGAATTCCTGGGATAGGCACGTCCGGAACAAGGATTTGGGCAGCGTAGAACAACAGACGTCCTGGTAAAAAAAGAAACAAAATTAATAATCTCTATTCCTTCTTGTCTTTTGCTTTCTGTCCTTTTCCTGAAACTGAATGGGCGGTGGGCGAGGGGCTGAGTGCTCTGCCCGGGCGGGACAGGGGCTCCAGGCACCCAGGGGCTCCGGACGTGCTTTGCTTTGGAAGGGGAAAGTGTGGTGGAGGTGTCATGGGAGGTGGCACCAGCGAAGATGGGCAAGGTGGTTTGAAGGTGGTGGCAGGAGAGAAGCTGGGGAGACCGGCAGCTGCCAGCAGAGAGACTGGGAAAACTCGTGCTCAGGACAGCAAACAGCTCGGGCAACTGCTCCGTGCCCTTCATTTACCTGTTTAAACAGGAGGAACTATAGATCTGCCACCACAGTCTCCTTTCCCCCTGAGTGGGATCCATCCTGCTGTGCGGCTGCAGAGCAGGAGCAGCTGGGATGGAACCTGCAAATGGTGTTTTCTCTGTTTTGCGTTTCGAGCTGGCCAGGACAAAGCTCTTTGGCGGCAGCTGTAAGGCAGAGGGGGTACGGCTGCACTGCCTTAGACAGCAAAAAATACCGATGCTCTTTAACGTTGCTGCAGAGCTGTGATAGAGTGCTTGTAGTAGTACGGGGCTTAAAAGAAATTAGCATCTTCGTATAAAGCAATTAGTATTAATTGCTACCCAGCATCTCTTTGATGTTTGAAGGTTCAGCGAGTTTTGTAAAGGACAGTTATGGAAGCTGTCACAAAAGCTGCACAAAGGGGCCTTTTATTTTAGATTAAAATATTAGCTTCTTCTAAAAGTATTTTTAGTAGAGGAAGATATATACCAATGGAAATCAGCTTTGCGAGTACCATGTATTTTCAGTTTAAATGCTCAGTCATATTTTCAGTTTGTGGCTCAACTGCCATGTTTTTCGGCAAAAGGAAGGAACAGTAAAACCCCTCTGAATCATAAAAACTGGCATTTTTCAGCACTGATTTTTCCCCTTTCCCGAGTCGGATGAACGCGTTCGAGCCACAATCACATGAGAGAATGAGCGGGCAGGAAAATTAACTTCTTGTTTCTGCGTCGGTCCTCTCCAGCCTCGGACGAGCTCCGGGCTGAACTCTGCCTCCCCTGTGAGCCGGGGCTCGGCGGGCACAGAGCCTCGGCAGCTGCTTTATGTGAACAAGAACAAATTATTTCTTGCAATGGGCTGACGATGGCGGGCATCCTCACAGAGAAATGAGCTCTGATGAGAGCCCTGAGCTGTGCTGGGCCACGCTGCGGCTCTCCCGCCCCAGGGCTGCCTTGCACAGGGGACTCGGGCTCCGACCGGCTGCTCCAGCTGCAGGCGTCAAGTTTGAGCAAGACTTTCACTTCCCCGGGAGTGTTTTGCTCTCTCGAATTTCTGCAGCAGGCAGCGAGGAGCATTGCAGCAATCCCGATCGAGCAGGCGGTCGTCTCTTGCTGCTTAGAAGTAGATTCAGATTTCATGCTGCAAATATTCGGGTGCACAGCAAAACTGTGCTGCTTGCAAAAGCCTAAAAACCCCCAGACTCAGAGGGTGTCTCTGCTTCCGGATAACTAAAAGCTCTGGCTATCAAGTTGTCCAAATTCAAAGAATCAAGGAAGGGTATTGCTGTTCCAAAACCACCACTTACTGAAATGTAATTTAAGCAGTAAACAATGCAAAGCTGAGAACAAAATATTAAACTCTTCCTGCGTGGAAGGATTGGATCTGTCAGGGTGAGGGTGTTGAAATCTGATTTTTGTGGCATATTCCAATTACAAAGGAATTCTTTCAGGGTCTAACACTCTGAACAAGCAGCCAGCTTTGCTCACTTATTGCCAGATCTAATTCCCTGATCCTGCTAGAAGAAAAAAAAAAAAAAGCAGCAGTCTGTTCCGGCATGCCACGGCCAGGTTACAGCACAAAGAGCTCCTCTGTCTTCCGATGAGCAAATCCTCTTGCGTGGGTCCGTGCGTGTTGGAGGGGGTGTTTGTTTTGCTGCTCTCATTAGCCTCTGCAGTCCAGTTCTCTCCCGAAGAACGGGCGGCGCGCACAAAGAAAACACATAATTGGTGGTGTCAGTAAATTTTGGAAGCTTAATGCTTTACCTCTGTAAGTAATTATGCCTTTTGTAAGCTGCTCAGCCTCTCCCTGCAGGCAGCAGAGCTCTCCTGGCCACACACCCTGCAAACATAACTGGCCCCTCCGCCGCCGAGGACCCTGCCCCGGGAAGGTCTCGGTGTTGGGAACCCCGACAGTGGGTTGTTTGTGAGCCAGCCCCCTCTACCCCGTTCAGGTCCCACCGGTGTCAGGGGTACGGGCTGCATCCAGAACAGCAGCAGGGGTGCATCGCCACGAGCAGGGGGGATATCGGGGTGCTGCTTGTAACACCCCCCCGGGGTGGCCGTAGACAGGCGCGTGGCTGCAGCCCGGGCACAACCCCCAGCGCTGCCCTGCTCTGTGCCAGGCATGTGCCCCAACACACCCAGGCGTGCCCCAAAGGTTCAGGGGCACCTCCCCGCAGCCACGACACCTCCGCCGCCCCCGAGGAAGGGTGGCAGAGGAAGCCCTTTGCAGGAGGAAGCTCCCGGCAGAGCAAGGCTGTGGCTAAACGGCAGCATTTCGGGTCAGAGCGTGCAGAAGTTGGAGAGTGCTTCAGCCGCGTAGCTGGCAGCGGTGGGTGCGGTGGAGGGAAGAGATCTCACGAGGCAGAGCTGGGCTGGGGCTCGCCTTGGGATGGGAGTGCTGCCGCTGAGCTCCCAAGCTGAGCTGGGCTTACAGCCTCTTCCTTCACTCAGGAACCCCCTTATCCACACCTCCGAGATGGTTAGAGAACCACCAGCATGAGATGGCCGTGGATGGGCAGTCCAGAGCTTTCTCTATGTCCAGTTCTTTTTGGGGAATACTTCGGTTCCAAGGACACTTTAAAAAAGCCCAGCTGCCCCTTCTCCTGGAGAGAGCAGCCTAAAAATCAAGCACATTTGCATCCATCCAGCAGCTTCACAGCTTGCCTGTCCTTCCTGCAGCTGAGCCAGCCTGCTTGCATTGCCCTGGGGGGGATGTCTCGCAGCTTAACGCCTCTCTCTTCTGCTTCAGCCGGGATATTGCCCCCCCCACCGCGCCGGACACCGTGGCAGCCCGTGATATGCCCAAGAAGGAGCTGGGGCTGGGGATGGCTGGCTGCAACTCTGGCAGCTGCGACAGCATGGTCAGCACGGCTTCCAACCACTCGCAACACGTAAGTAACCCCATTGCGCCCAGCCCGGGCACGGCAGGGGCTCAACTCACCCCTCTTGGTGGCTGAGGAGGGATTTTGGTCATAGCCCTGCTCCAAACTGCTCTCCATCGGTGCTTTGGAAGCACCTGGGGGCCCTGATACAGCGCCGTGCTAAGGGTAACGCAAGGACCAAATTAATTCCTGCCCCAAAGCACTCCCAGACTTTCTGTCCCGCCATGCGTGTGGCGGCGATCAGGAAGCTAAGCCCCTGCAAGGTCTCCTCGGGGAAATGACACCGAGAGCCCAGCGGCTCCTGCTTTGCCTGAAGATGCAGAGAGTGCCGGCACTGGGCAGGAGCAGCCTGGCAAGTTCCCCGGTGAGGAATTAGACCAGTTGGATAACTGGGTCAGACTGGCTCCAACAAGGGTGGCTTCACCTGGAAACGACAGCGAGCCGTACTCCTCCCGGCTGACAAGAGATTAATTTGCTAGTTAAGGCAGAGATGAGTTTGGACCATGGGTGTAGATGTGTAATTTTTCACTATCTGTCCATTAAAACTTGTTTGTCTCCAAACACTGATTCCAAGATTGAAGGACTAATTACATCCTGTCTGACTTGGAGCATAATTGATACGTGTAAGTGCAATGCTCAGTCCTGAACAGGTTTTCCATTTGATGTATTGCAAACCAGAACCAAACCCTCTGAAATTTATTAGGGATGGAAAAACTGGTTGCAATATTGCATGGTAGAAGATTTGGACAGGTGTTTGTCTGCAAAACAACTCCACCTGGGACAATTTCTCCTCTGTGCTTGCTGATCTGATGCACGCTCCATCCTTTCCTGCAGTTCAGTTTTTCCACGATATATTGCATGTATCACCTTCTGACTTGGCACTTCCACAGCAATCATATCTCATGATACTTGAAATACAACAAAAATTTAACAGGATCTTGCCGTACTCCTTTCAAAACTGAGGTATGAATAGGAGAACAAGGAGAGAGACCACCACCCAGACAAGTCTTCAGTATTTATGATGTTTAGAGAAGCTTCTAAAATTCAGCATTGCTGACCAGTATAGATGTCTGTATCTATAGACCCCTCCCCATTACCCATCTGCTCATATTTCAAAGTAAACTACAGAACTAAAAGCTAGAGGCCAAGTTTCCAAGTTAAGAATAAACCTATTGTCTGATGCTCATAGTATGGTAATATAAAAATGGCTTTAAGATTTTATATATATATATATATTTAGAGGAAGCTGTCTAGTTTTCTGTAGCTGTAAGTACCAATTTTTGAATAGTCACTGGCCCAGTGTCCTGGGCAGGAGCTGTCACAGGTCTCTCCTCACTGTCAGAGCTGTGACTAACGATGCCCCCGTGTCTCTACCTGTACTGCTTTTTCCTTTGCAGAGTGATAACAGTTATGACTACTT